CACACACACACACACACACACACACACACACACACACACACACACACCACAAAACATTCTACCAGCTGGGGACCAAGTGTTCAAACAGACGAGCTTGTGCGGGACATTTTCTATCAAAACCGTAACAAGGGGAGAATGGATTCTGGTGAACGTCCAGCCCTCACCAGGCCCTTGATTTCCAAATATCCATCCAGCTCCCCCTCCTTCCTATCATAGGACACACTTCTCTGTCTTGCTCTCCATGGGAGGTGATGGCCTTAAACCAGTTCAAAGCTAGAACTCAGAGATGAATAAGAGATGAATAATCCTTTCCATATACCAACCCCTCAGCTGGGTTTCTCTCTGGATTCTGATCCTCTCCTTTGGGGGGATATTTACTTTTCTCCATGGTCACATTTAAAGTGGAGTGGTAAGTTTTAGTTTTTTTGTTCCACTTCACATTGGCAGAGATCTGAGAACTAAGTCAAATATCCCAAGTGTTTCTAACCAGGCTGGGTCTTCCGCAGCAGTTTCCTTAGGCACAGACACATAAGGTGTTTGTTCTGCTTGCTCCCAGTCAGTGACATGAGTTAGTGAATCATATCCAGTACACTTTTGGACACTTTTAGCCTGTTACTCTTGTGGCTTGTTGTTTGTCCTTTTCTGAATATACCAATAGTCATTATTACCAAAGACATTTTAAAGTGATAGATTTGGTTAGAAAGACAACATTCTTGGTTCATGAGATACATAGAGTGTGACTCTGAATGAAAGCTCCTAACGGGAACACATCAGCTCTGTCCCTCCTCTTCCAGGTATAAAAGTACTTGGTTTTATTATTCAGCCTTGTTAGGACCCTGACTGTCTAGACTCTATCTCTCAAACATGTTGTTATTCTCCAAATTCCTCTTTTAAAGAAACATCTTCTAAAAGCTGCAAAGAGTATTTGCCTCTTTTGAATACTTTGTCTTAGGTGGTGTGTGCATACCAGGTGGTCTACGTTACTATACTCTTTCCCAATGTCTTGGTTACTGTTCTATCACTGTGAAGAGACACCATGACCAAGACAACTTAAATAACCAAGCATTTAGTTGAGTCCTTCCTTACCATTTCAGAGGCTAAGTCCATGAAGATCATGGTGGGGAGCATGGTAGCAGGCAGGCAAGCATGACACTGAAGCAATGGCTGAGAGCTAACATCATCCTGTCCACAAGAGTAGGGGAGAATGAGACTGATATGGGCTCTAGAAACCTCAAAGCCATCCCTCCAGGACACACCTCCAACAAGGCCATATCTCTGAAGCAGTCCAGCAACTAGGAATAGGCATTCAAATGTATGAACCTATGATGGCCATTCTCATCCAAGCCACCACACACACCAGTCTTTATCTTTCTAGCTCACAATGTTTAATTCCAAATTGCCTCCTGTCTGGCTGTCAACAAATGTAATATATTTTCACTTCAGCTGTTGACAGTATCTTTGTTGAATAACAGATTCCAGATGGGCAGAAGGAAATAAATTATTATAATAAAGACTCTATGTAAAGGTTCAAAGAGAGTAGAGCTTTCCTTCTTCCTCATCTAACAGCCCAGAGAGGCTTGGTAAGATAATCCTGGGTGTTTGGTCCCACTCTGAGCAGGGGGAGGAGAACTCTCTTCTACATAGTAATCTTAAAGAACCCAGATGTTTATGAATGGCTTTCAAGGTCATTATAGTAATTGTTGTTGATAATCTAGAGACAAGGGAAAGGAAAGAAGGAGGTAGGGTTTATTGGACAGTTCTAGGAGTGGTTCATACTATTTCCATTGCATGTCATTTAGAGAATGCACCGTTATACCGGTTACACCTAAAGCACAGGGGAAGATGTAGACAGAATATGCTCAAAACCTGGGTTTGCACTGCAATGATTAACTAGTGTGTCCCTCTTTTTCTTCCCAGCTATGAAACAAAGGGAAAATCAGATACATCCAGCAACCATGCAGTGCTGAAGTTGGCCAAAGGAGACGAAGTCTGGCTAAGAATGGGCAACGGTGCCCTCCATGGGGACCACCAGCGCTTCTCTACCTTTGCAGGCTTTCTGCTCTTTGAAACTAAGTGACGAGGAAGACAGGATAGCTCTGCTTTGAGGGCAATTTGTAGCTGAGCTAGGGTTGCTAGCATCTGAGGGATGTTGAAGTTGGGAGTTCTATATGGAGCATTTAACTGTTGCATTGGTCACACTGCTACTCATTCTAATGGCCTGCCAACAATGTTGGATGCTTCAGGGGCTAAGAAGAATAGACCACAAGGTAATCTTGCCAGATGACCTTGGGAAATACTCAGCATCTTTGTCACTCTTCTCTGACGTGTCTAAAGGGATCGCCACCTGATACAGGTTGGAAATAAGCGTTCACCTCAAAGAATGCATTTGCAAAGAGTTCTGTTGTTCTGTTTAAATGTAGAATTAGCTTTGGAGTCAAGCAAGTTTTGATCTCATTGTTCTTCATAATATTCTAGACACTAGTCTGATTGTGATGGGGCCAGGGCAAGACATAAGAGCGCTTACCACAATCTACATAGGAGAAACACTTCTGAAGTTTAGACTGGAAAATAGTATTTGGTTTAGTGGGTTTTATTCATATATTCATTAATAAAATACATTTAGTCATTCCAGATAACCTTTAAATAGTACAATTATTCCAATTCTCACAAATAATTGGTTCCTCTTTAAAAAAAAATCAAACAAAAACCCCATGTAGATAATATTGAGTTCTACTGGGTTAGACTTTCAGATACAAAATTTTCTCACACCTGGCTTGCCACATCTTCTCTTTGCCATTGCATTACTGGGGCTGTGGTAGAGCTCTCTTGACTCTGCATAACCAGCTAAGGTAAGATTAAGTTGATATAGTTCAGATGTTATCACATTTTTTTAAAAAAATTTGGATATTATCCCCAATTTTTTAATATACACCATGTTATGTTGAATGGGCTGTAAACTTAAACACAGAAAGACAAATGGACACAAAATACAAGTGTATTCCATTTATGAGATCCACAGTAATATGTCTTAAAGGTTTTCAATAAAAGTCATATTATTTTCTCTATTATCATACTTGACTAATGTTCACAAATCAGCTTTAATATGCCACAGTGCTATAGGAGGTGCTAGTTGGTTTTTTCCCTAACTTTCCACAACTCAAAACCTACAAAGAAAAGGATTAAATTTGCCATCAAAACACCATTATAAAATGTGCCATAAGTTGATACAGATAGTAACACACACACACACACACCACAGATAGACACGCATACAGGGACATACACACAATATACACAACACATAACACACACCACAGACAGACAGATATACAGGGACACAAACACAGTATACACAACACATAACACACACACACACTCACACACACACACACACAGTGCTGAGGCTCAAACTCCCAAGGCTTGTATATGCTAGTCATATGCTCTTCCACTGAGCTACACCCGCAGTGCCCAAGTTTGTTTCATTGAAGAAAGTATCACTGCAATGCCTTTACCCTGGTGTTAAATCGTATTTAAAATTCACCAGTGAAATTCGTACTGAAAAATTGCATATAATCAATTCTCTTTAAAGTAGTGAGTCCATAATTTAATTTCTGCAACAACTTAAACTTATGTGCAGGCTTTTCAATCATAGATTTCCTTCAATTTTATCACCCTCCACCTAGAGGCAATGAACGTGAAGTAGGGCTGTTTTATTAGCCAATTCACTGGCTCCCATGTGTAGTTCAAACTTTGACCCTATCTTTTCTTTTTTTTATCCACAAATGTGTTTAAAGGCTTTCTAAGTCTGCATATATCACAAACATTTCACTGAAGTGCAAAAGGTACTTGATGTTATATAACAACCAAGGAGATTTCATATCTGAAGAGTATCCACTATCTACTAAGTGTCCTGGAGGAAGATTCTGTCATAGATAAAACTGTAGTAAGAAAAATTGCATAAGCATATTTGGAAATAAACACACTTTTGTTGATGATGTGTTTTTAAAAATGTTCTTAATAATTACAATAGTCATACATTGACTGTCATGTGGATAATGTAAAGCAGAATATTTTCCTGGCAGTATGAACAGCCGTACAACTCAGACATGCATAAGACACATGGACCGCGGGGTCACTTGTCTCCACAAGATCCCATTTTCAGTTACTCCTCAGCTTCAATCCTTTATGACATCAGTGATTAGAGGGTCCCTTTTCAGTGTCAGAGGGTATCTCCAAATGGATGGGTCTTCATCATACACCCACAATCTTTTTGCATTATTTATTTATTCACTTTATATCCCAATATCAGCATCCTCCCAATCTCAATTCCCCCTCACACAGCTTCCTCATTCCCCCATTCTCCCTCCCTTTCTCCTCTAAGAAGGGCGAACCCCTCCCCCCACCAGGTATCCTCCCACCCTGGCACATCAATTCCTTTCTCACTGAGGCTAGACAGTTAGGGGAACAGAATCCACAGGCAGGCAAAAAATTCAGGGACAGCCTTTGCTCCAGTTGTTGGGGGCCTGCGTGGAGATCAAGCTGCACATCTATTACATTTGCACATGGGCCTATATCCAGCCCATGCCTGCTCTTTGGTTGGTGCCTCCGAGACCAGGTTAGTTGACTCTGTTGGTCTTTCTATGGAGTCCCTATCCTCTTTGGGTCCCTTAATCCTTCCCCTAATTCTTCCACAAGAAATGTTTAGCTGTGGGTCTTTGCATCTGTTTCCGTCGGCTTCTGGGTGGAGCCTCTCAGAGGACGGTTACACTAGGTTCCTGTCTGCAAGCATAACAGACTATCATTATTAGTGTCAGGGATTGGTTCTTGCCCATGGGATGGGTCTCAATTTGGGCCAGTCATTGGTTGGCCATTTCCTCTATCTCTGCTCCATCTTTGTCCCTGTATACCTTGAACACAGGACACAATTTGGGTCAAAGCTTTTGTGGGTTGGTTGCTGTCCTTATTCCTCCCTTGGGAGTCCTGCCCAGCTACAGGACATGGCCACTGTCAACTCCGTCTCCCCTGCTGCTAGGAGTCTCAGCAAGAGTCACTCCCATACACTCCTTTTGGCCTTCTCTTGTCCCCAGATCACTGGCAAATCCTAGGATGTGTTGCGGGAAGTATTAAAAACGAGAAGGACTGGCAGGATTCCTGTGCTTCTGCGGGCAACTCTCAGCCCCGGTGTGGTCCCACCACCTCTGTCTCTAACTCCCGCAGTGACCTCACGGTATTCCCAGCTTCGGTTCGCTTGTCTCTCCAGCTGCTAGTTCCTTCAAAGCCATACCCCCCCCCACCCCCCGATCTGCAGTCCCACCTTCCAGTAATCCAGTAAAACAAAACTCTAGAAGCGTATAGTTAACCAGTCAGCTTTATAGAACAATAAATTCTCAATTCACAAAATGCCCACACAATAATTTCAAGGCCAATTGAAAATGGTACAAGTTGCCCACCTAGAATAGACAAGTTATCCCAATCATTCTATCCCTATATGAAATCATATCCATCTGTGGCTATTTAAAGCTATGCTGGTTCAGGATCTTCTTCCTGTCCGCCCTCCATCTTGATTCTTCCCTTTCTCCTGAGAGGCTCTGTCTCTGTAACTCTTAGCTCCACCTCCCCTTTCCCTGTCCAATCACAGCCCCCTGCAGCACTAATATTTTAATGTAATTGGACAGGGAAAATCCTGCCACAGGATGCAGCCCTGCCCACCCACTCACCACTGATTTCCTTTCTCCCGTGATTTCACTACCTCATCTCTACAACCCATCCCTCTCTCCATCCCTTCTCTCACTCAGGTCTCTACTTCTGTCCCGTATTTATTTTGTTTCCCCTTATGAGAAAGGTTCAAGTATCCTCCTTTGGCCCTCCTTGTTATTTGGCTTCTTTGGTTCTATGGATTGCAGTGTGCTTATCCTGTACTTTATGGCTAATATTCATTTGTGAGTACATACCAAGCATGTCTTTTTGGGTCTAGGTTACCTCATTCAGGATGATATTTTCTAGTTCCTTCCATTTGCCTGTGAAATTCATGATGTCCTTGTTTTTTAATAGCTGAGTAGTATTCCATTGTGTGAAGGAACCACATCTTTATCTATTCTTTGGTTGAGAGACATCTGGAAAGTTTCTGTCTATTAAGAATAAAGCTGCTATGAACATAGTTGAGCAAATTTCCTTGTGGGATGGTGGAGCACCTTTTGGGTATACGCCCAGGAGTGATATCACGCAGTCTTGAGGTAGAACTATTCCCAATTTTCTGAGAAACCTCCACATTTCTTTCCAGATTGGTTATACAAGTTTGTACTCCCGTCACCAGTGGAGGAGTGTACCTCTTCCTCCACATCCTCGTCAGCATGTACTGCCCCCTGAGTTTTTCATCTTAGCCATTCTGATGGGTGTAAGATGGAATCTCAGAGCTGTTTTGATTCCCATTTCCCAGATAACTAAGGAGGTCGAATAGTTCTTTAAATGTTTCTCGGTCATTAGAGATTCCTCTGTTGAGAATTCTGTTTAGCTCTGTGGCCCATTTTTTAATGGTGTTATTTGTGTTGTTGGTGTCTCACTTCTTGAGGTCTTTATATATTTTGGATATTAGCCCTCTGTCGGACGTAGGATTGGTAAAGATGCTTTCCCGCTCTGTAGGCTGCTGTCTTGTCCTACTGATGGTGACCTTTGCGTTACATAAGCTTTGAAGTTTCACGACTTTCACAATAGTCACAAATAGCATATCTTTATACTCTAACTAAGCAAGTGAAAGACCTATATGACAGGAACATCAAGGCTCTGAAGAAAGAAACTGAAGATCTCAGAAGATAGAACAATCTCTCATGCTCATGGATTGGTAGGATTAACATAGTAAAAATGGTCATTTTACCAAGAGCAGTTGGGTTCAATGCAATTCCCATAAAAATCCCAACACAATTCTTCGGACCATGAAAGAACAATTTTCAGCTTCATGCGGACAATCAAATAACTCATCATATGGAAAACAATCCTATAGAACTTCTGGAAGTATCATCGTCCTTGACTTCAAGGCACCAGGCATGTCTACAGTGCACAGACATACATGCAGGCAAAACACTTGTACCAATAAAAAATAAAATTAAAAAATTTAAAACTCCTTACTTAATCTTTTAGCTTTAGGAGGTTTTTGTTTGCTTCAATATATTTTGTTGTTGTTGTTGATGATGATTTGAAACAGGGTCTCATGTAGCCCAGGCTAGCTTTGAAATGGCTGTGTAGCCAAGGATGACTGAATTCCTGATAGTTCTTCTTCCACCTTCCAAGGGCTTCGATAACAGTTGTGTACCCCATATCAAAAATTCCAGTTCTTTTAAAATTACAAATAATGCATTATGAATATACTTTGTTTTAAAAATATCTGAACAAATTGCCTATGCATAATTTATATCATTGTTTCCTCTGACTAGCTTTTAGAAGACAGTTTGTACCAGAGGAATGATCTGGAGTGGTTGAGATCTATCACAGTCTGCTTTGCCTGGCCCTCGTGATAACTCAGTACTCTGAGACGAGGTGTAAAGCATGATGCCGGCTAAGACTTGTGATTCCTGTGAATATGATCCTGTATGTAAGCTCGAGGCACATCTGTGCTATTGGTTGTTTTGTTTTTCAGAAAAACAGAAAGGTAGCAACTCTGATAAAATGTTAATGTCTCCATGTGGAAGTCACTCATACCATTCCGTGCGATTTTCTCTTTCCTTTCCAGTTTATCAAAACGCAAAGGGAAGAATTGGATAGAATGAGGCTGGAACAAGCAAGGGTAGGCACCTGAGACAGCATCAGACAATCAGAGATCATTAGGGACCATGTGGAAGTTGGCTGCCTCTAGCAGGAGGCAGCTCATGCTAAGAGAGCACAGACCGCTTGCCCTGAAGTGTCTTAAAGCTCAGTAGCTGGTTAAAAGTGTTTTGGGTACAACTATGTAATATTTCGCCTTTGGTTTTATTATCTGTCTCACTTGTTAAGAATCG